GCTCTTCATGTTCAACATGACTCTAGCCATCACTTACCTTCGAGAATATTCCTCATTTTATTTGAAAATCAGAACACTTATGATTCCTCTTTTTACGGAACGCATCCTTTTACTTTATTCCTTATTCATAGTGCAGTAAAACCGAGCATCCTTGCTTTGCCTCATTGGCATAAAAATATAGGCTAGCTACTAAATAGTCCACAAACCCTAACATACTCTTTTCTGTTATCCCATTTAATATGGTTCTTCTGTTGTAAATTCTGTGGTTGACTTTTGTCCTTCTAGTCCGTCTTAAGTATGTGGTCTTTCAAATATTGACGTAAATATTTTAGTGGCAATTTATCAGAACGAAATTCCAAGGATCATCTTTCACATGTGCATGTCAATTTGTCTCTGTTTCAATAGTCAGTCTATAACTCGGGTAGCATACAGACGCAATTATTCATTTATCCAGAGTTCATGGCAGTATACATTACGTAAGTTTATCTTGACACTAGCTCGCTAAATAAAGAACTACACCACCTTATAAAAAATGCTTCTCGTTAAAGGATTAGAATTGAATAAATCAAGAATATTGTCTATATATTCTATGAAAACGAAGTATCGATATTTTCATAAAGGAATATATTTGATGCTCACTTATGGAAGTTGATTTCTGTTAGTATTCTGCTCCACTAATTGATGCACCACTATGTGTACTTTCTTACTTATTAGGAAGTTGTCTTCTTCACTATTATTTAAAAATAGTAATTTTACAAATGGGCTTTAATACGGCTAATGACTGGTACAGGCTGAATAAGAAGCTATGGGCTGGTACGAAGGAATGTGCACCGTCAACTGAATCGTTTGCCCATTTTTAACGTCATCACATCTCCGGCTCTGCTTTAGAGTGCAGCAAGCTTTTCTCGAGTCCACGAGAAAGTTGGAATCAGGGCGTTCAGGGCAGATAATTACAGAAAGCAGTAAGCTTTGTGGCATCCTGCTCTGATTATGAAAATTTGAGTGTTGTCTATTATGCAAACTCTGGAACGACTTTATTATTCTGTGCATAAGTCAGTTCGTGAAGTTAAAGTATTTTCTTGTCTAGTTTGTACAGTTAAGATTCATTTGCAAGAAGGCATGGCATAGGATATATTGCACTACCATTTACACGATAATGTATTGCTTATTTTTGGATGTATATGTATTCAGTTTATGCTGTTTATGCATGGTTCAGCATTTCTTTCTTTTTCTTATATATTTTAAAGAGGGCCGAAAACGGCAAGTTAAAGTGCCAATGTTCTATACTTATGAGATGAATGGACAATTCCGAGTAACATTTTACAAAGCTTCTACAGAAACTTTACTGCTAAAAAAATAAAAGGTGTATTCATCCTATTTCGTTTAAGCTGATAAGGGACTTGTAGATGAATTTTCCCACAATGATATGAGCAGAAATGACGTTTACATTGATTATCACTTAGCCTTGCTTTCCAAACAGTTATTCTCATCCAAGATGCACTGCAGTTTCGACCTCGTCTAGGTCTTATCAACACCTCAAGCGGGACCCGAATCACGACAATGCAACGTCTAATCTCATCACGTTAACCACGACGCCACATTGTCACGAGTGCCGTTTAATCACAGGACAGGTTTTAATATGAATGAAGGCCAAGCATTTTACCAATATCACACTATCTGGTTGAATTGTCGATGAAGCAAAGTTGTATGCACCATAGAATCGACTACGCCACTTATTTTTTGTTTAGAAATGGGCTTACCTTAAAATTCACATCTACCCTGTGACCCAAGGGCACTTATGAGATTATAGAATGAGGGCATAGAATACAGGTTCTAGTCACGTTAGGTCAGATAAGGGCATCAACGAAATAGCCATGTTTCTCAAGAGGTATTCTTATTCGGGCCGGGCAGCAGTGTCGACATTGCTTTGGTCTCATCAGCACAACAGAGGATAGTAGAACTCGGGTGGTGCAAGGCATAACTTTGGCATCTTTATAAGTCGTGAGCCTTTAAGAAGGCTAGGCGAAGTTAACTTTGGATGAGGATACCTTTTGTGAATCAAGACACTGTAAACTTTAATGGAAGTGAGGCCTACTCATAGCATTGCTGAAAAATTTCACTTTCATTATTTCATCACCTTGCACTGCAACCTGTGGCAACTATAGCCATTATTCAAGATCTAATGATAATCGTAAAAACCTGCCTTATGTGAATATGGGGCACAACATAAAATTTAAGTAGCCTGGTTTAGTAAGCCCATAATAGCAATAATGATCATTAGGATTTAAATAAATAGGGTAAAATTAAGGGCATAAAATAATATTAATCATAAATCTAGGTTTTTATGCCTACTGAAACTCCCAACTTTATTTTGATCGACCAATACTCTTATGTTAAGAATTTTTTTTAATTAAGCATCCTTTTCCAAAATAATACAGAAAGTCTAAGCAAGCCTGAAAAACAATTGTTTTCAGCAGACTTTGGGAATTTTAATCAGTTCATAGCTTCTCTCCCTTTGCCCCATTTGTCAAGCAGACCCATCACCTGACGAGGTCTCGTGAATCTCGCTGGGTCTCACTTGCCTCCGCAAGCAATTCAGTCCACTCGCTTAAAGGCACCCGGCAAGTACCATCTTCGCGGTACCTAGCGAGTAGGGTGGACGTGAATTCTGATAACGAAGAGGGTCACGAGCGTAGGCCGGTTGGTGAACTGATGACGGCGGCCGCTCCAGGGACTTCAGCCCTCCCGAAGGCTGAGTTTATCATAAGTCGGGGTATTCATTTGTTTCACTTTGAGTTTCGATTGCCTGACGACCTGCCTGGGTCGTTCGAGTTGCCTTCAGCCTGTCTCGAGGGTGGTGCGGCGGCTCGTCTTAGCTACGGTTTGTGCGTAGAAGTCTGCAACACTGCAGTGCAAGTATCACACACCAGACAAAGGGAAATTATTGTCTTTCGACCTCTTGATCTTTCCCACTTCCCCAGACTCAGAGTGAGCAAATCAACATTACATAAGCTATTATTTTATAGTAAATAAGCATTGGCTCCTGCAATATTTTAATTATGTTTTTCTGAATATTGCTTATAAAAATAATCAAAAGCAGGCTTCAAACTCTGAAATAGTGTTTAAAGAAGCCTTGCCAAAGACTTAACAGAGATCACAGACATGAAGCAATTGAATTATTGTCTGATGAAGAACACAGCTCTCAGGGAGATCAGACACATTTATATTTCACCAAAGCTTAACTTGTTTAGAGATTTAAATATTGTGAAAAAAATAATAAGAAAGTAGCAAAATACTACTAAATATAATAACTAAGTATCTGGACATAAAGCCAGAGCCAAATTATGTTTCACTCAATTCATACTTGAATACCGAGGAAGCATCTATATTCTCTCGTAATGCCTTCTGAAGCGACAGATTTTCAGCTATTGCAAATAGTATATATAAAATATAAAATATACAAAAATTTTAAACAAGTTCAGCACCAAGATTTAATTTGACTACACTTGAAGCTCTCTATTTACCACTTAATCCAGTCAATAACATATATGGGCAATTATATTATTATTAG